GATTATAACTTAATTTTATTTGATTGAAGAGTTGTCTAAAGGCAAAACATATCCCTTAAATTCATGCATTGTTATTGATTATCATATTGATCTCCTTTGTTGCTCTTTGATTGTTGAATGTTGAGAGAGTTTGGTGATTTGCTTCATATTTCTTGCCTCTTTCCTCAAGCTTCTCTTCTTTTCCTTCAACAACATTTCTCTTTCGATCTCTATAGATCATGTACATTATCATTTGGATCATTCCTAGTACAAACCCCACAACGTTTGGCAGCTGAAAATGATAGAAAAACTAGTTACCATCAACCTATGACAAAGAAAAAAAATTATGGCTCGTGTCTAGGGTTTAGAACAGAATATTGAATCAGGAGTCGACACTTGATGGTCTCGACGTTTCCTTGAATTACTCCAAGACAACTAGCTTAATTTTAGGGTTTTTATAATTGAGCCATTGAAAATGAATGTGAAGATTTGTATATGTAGTAACTATTCGTTTTTTAAAGCATTTTTTAACCATTATATCATTAGGTGTAACAGTCTAAACTCACCGCTAATTGTCTTTTTTAGCCTTTCCCTTTTGTGCTTCCCCTCGAGGTTTTAAAACGGGTTTATTAGGGAGAAGTTTTCACACCCTTATAAGGAATGCTTCGTTACCCTCTCCAACCGATGTGAGATCTCACAATCCATCTCCTTGTGGCCAGTGTCATCACTGACACACCGCCTAATGCATCTCACAATCCATCCCCCTTGAGGGCTCAGTGTCCACGCTAACACACCACTCGGTGCCTGACTCTAATACCATTTGTAACAGCCCAAACTCACCGCTAGCAAATATTGTCCTCTTTGGACTTTTCGTTCTAGGCTTTCCCTCAGGTTTTAAAACGTGTCTATTAGGGAGAAGTTTCCACACCCTTATAAGGAATGCCCTCTCCAACCGATGTGGCATCTCACAATCCACTTCCTTGGGGGCCAGCATCCTCGTGGACACATTACTAACAAATATTGTCCTCTTTAAACTTTCTCTTATGGGCTTCCCTTCAAGGTTTTAAAACACGACGGCTAAGGAGAGGTTTAAATTTTCTCTTATGAGCTTCCCTTCAAGTTTTTAAAACACGACGGCTAAAGAGAGGTTTAAACTTTCTCTTATGGGCTTCCCTTCAAGGTTTTAAAGCACGACGGCTAAGGAGAGGTTTAAATTTTATCTTATGGACTTCCCTTCAAATTTTTAAAACTCGACGGCTAAAGAGAGGTTTAAACTCTCTCTTATGGGCTTCCCTTCACGGTTTTAAAACACGACGGCTAAGGAGAGGTTTCCACACCCTCATAAGAAATGTTTCGTTCCTCTCTCCCACTAATGCACGATCTCACAAGACCACTCTCATTCGAATATAGTTTCAGTTCATTCATATATCTCTTTTATTACAAACCCTAATTTCTACCAATTATGAGCCTAAAACTCAATCCTAAAAAGTAACACCTTCATGAATACAAAAAGGAAAGTTCTAAGCTTACTTCCACACCCTTTACTTTATTGGTCCATCCTCAAAACTATGTCAATATTCAAATGTTCATTTATGTTGTTCTTTAAATTGAGTATCATAAACATAGAAAAAGATAAGTATGGTCTAAAATATAGGCATACGTGGAATCCACATGAAGTATTTATGAAATTCAATATGAAAAGTAAATGATAATTAAAGATTCAAAAGTAATTTAATGGTCAAATTTATATGGATGAATAAAGTAAGGTTAGGTTTTGACTTACAGCAATGAAGGGATCTTTGATGAAGAAGCCATAGAAGAACCACATGGTGGCTGAAAGTGTGAGAAAAAATGATAGGGAAAATGGCATATACTCCACACTTTTTGTTGTTATCACCTTCTTCTGAAAATTTTCAAAATTAATGATAAAGAAAATAAACAAATAAACAAAAACGAGGTACGTATGCCCAAGTTTCGGAATCCAGATTCAGCACCTAATGATTCTAACATTGCGATAGGTCTGTTTGTCGTCCTAGATTTTGGAATCTAGATTCAGAACCTAATGATCCTAACATTCCGACATGTCTGTTTTGTCCTAGGTTTCGGAATCTAGATTCAGCACCTAATGATCCTAACATTCCGACAGGGCTGTTTTGTCATAGGTTTTGGAATCCAGATTCAACACCTAATGGTCCTAACATTCCCACAGGCCTGTTTTGTCCTCGGCTTCGGAATCTAGATTCAACACCTAATAGTCCTCACATTCCCACATATTTGTTTTGTCCAAAGTTTCAGAATCCATATTTAGCACCTAATGGCCTTAACATTTTCGCACGTTTGTTTTGTCATAGGTTTTAGAATCCAGGATCTAATGACCCTAACATTCTCACAAGTTTGTTTTGTCCTAGGTTTTAGAATCCAGATTCAGGATCTAATGGTCCTAACACTTCCACACGTTTATTTTGTCTAGGTTTCAGATTCGAGATTCAGCACCTAATGACCCTAAGATTCCCACGGGTCTGTTTTGTCCTCTCTCATATGCTTGATTCAGAATCTAGATTCAGCACTTGATGACTTTAACATTCCCACAAATCAACACAGGTTTGCTTTTTCCTCACTCACATACTTTTTGTGAAAATTCCCGAGAGGCCACCCAACATAGAATTTCTTCAAACAAAACACGCTCTTAACTTCAAAGTTCATGTGATTGAGCTACCAAAAAGTAAGGTACACCTTCGTGATATAGATAATAACTTTCAATTCTTTTAGGTCATTCATAGTTATCTTATCATCGGGATTACTCTCTTCCGAATGTGGTCTCGGTTTATTTCTATTTAAGTGTATTAATTTTGAAATAATAATATATTAAAACAAATTTTCCTTCAAACAAACAACAATTTCAAGGTTAAATTGAAATAAACATAGAGAGAGAGAGAGATGGAGGACCATGATGCTCAAAGGAGAAGCAAAAACAGCAAGATTGAAAGCTGCACAAATCCATCCAACAGCATCTGTTCGCTTATTTCCATGAAATATAAGCATTGTTCCTCCTACCATTACTCCATAAGAACCCAAGTTGAACATTACTAACATCTTCAATGTAAATATCTGCAAAATAAACGTTATAATCGTCTTATTTTTTACCAATTTGATCATAAATCAACTGATGTAGGCTTATATCTTCGAACGAGAGGTCAAAAGTTTGAACGTCTCACCCCACGTGTTGTTGAATCAAAAGAACAACTAACCTTTTGTCTCTTAGGAGCATAAAAGAGGTAGAGAGCTATATAGAAAAGTTCAATGACACATCCAAAAGAGTTGATGCTGATTAACAAAATGGCATTGGTCTTAAGAACAGCATAATAAAGAAGCAACAATGCACTCATCAATGCCACCACATAAGGTATAGAATGGAATCCTTCTGAAGTTTTCTTCTTGTAGATGGTCCAAAATGTTGGCCTAAAATACATGCCACACAATGACATGTTACGACAACGATATCAGTAATAGACGTTTAGAATTTAGAGGCCTTACATTGGAGCTAGAAACACCATGAACGATATTATATTACCTGGAAAGTAGAACGAAGGGAATCAATCAATTTAAAAAACCCATTATTTTGATTCGAAAAGTAAAAGAAAACGATAATCGATTAGTACCCAAGAGACCGAAGATGAATTGAAGCTGATGAACACTTAAGTGGGTCATTGTAGCTATGAATGGAAGAAAGTTAACAAAATATGATTAAAAGCAAGCCAAGATGGTGAGGTTTTATAAGCAAAGAGTTGTAGTTAGGCAGTTCATAGAAAGAGAGAAAGAAGATTGTATGGCTGAAATTACAAGGTAAAAGGTTTGGAATTTAAATCATTTAGATGTGGCTCAACTCAAGTTTGTGAGTTCTTAGAAAGTCTTGTATTAATTAAATGAAATCCCCTCTTGATTCTTTGCCCAACTTAATCTTAACCACGTTCTTCTTCTATTTTTCTTTGGTGCTTTCTTTTTTTAAGGTAGATTGGGATTTAGTTTGGTTGTTCGAGCATTGAAAGTAATGTAGGGTCGGTGCAAATGAAATTTATATAAGTTACGTACGAACGTGGTGTGTACTCAACGTGTAAGATACCACATTGGTTGGGGAGGAGAATGAAACACTCTTTATAAGGGTGTGGAAACCTCTCCCTGGTACACTCGTTTTAAAAACCTTGAAAGGAAGCCCTAAGAGGATAATATCCGCTAGCGGTGGGCTTGTGCTATTACAAATGGTATCAGAGACAAACATCGGGCGATGTGCTAGCAAAGAGGTTGTTCCCTAAAGGGAGTAGACACGAGGCGGTGAGTTGGTAAGCGAACGAGTGTCAGCGAGGTCTTTGTGCCCTGAATGGTACTGATTGTAAGATCCCACATCGGTTGACTCTTTATAAGGATGTGTAAACCTCTCTCTAGTAGAACCCAAAAAGGACAAGATGGGCATAGGCTGTTACACAACGAGTCTCAAGTGTTACAAAATTGGTATGAAATTGGTGGATTATATGCATATGAAAGTGATAAACTATATCCCGAGCATATAAAAGGAACTCTAGATCCCAATGTCATAGTTTTAGGTCCCACTAGAAATTAATGTCATGGTTCATGTTGTATGCGTTCGTATTTTCTCAACCCTAGAAATGAGGTGACGTATTGGGTATTTTATAATACTAAACCTTTTCTACATTTTCAAATTTTTGAGCCCGAGTTTGAAATAGGGACCTTTAATATGTGATACTACCATGTTAACCAACTAAACCACCCCAAACAAGTTGACAAGGTGAGAATCCAAAATAACACTTTAAACTCGAATCAACACTCATATGTCGAGGAGGCGAGAATGTTGTAAGGAAAAAAAATAAAAATATAAATTTTAAAATGTCTAAGCCGGGGTTTGAATCAAATACCACTAGTGTCTCTTTGAACTCGAATCTACATTCAGAGACTTCTTAAAGTGAAAATGTTGTAAGGAAAAAAAAATAAAAATATAAATTACAAAATGTCTAGGCTTGAATTTGAACCAAGGACCTCTAATGTGTGAGACTAGCATGATAACCAACTACAACACCCAGACAATATAAGAATCTAAAATAACGCTTTGAACTCAAATCAGCACTTGTATGTCGCGGAAGTAAGAATCTTATAAGGAAAAAAATAAAAATATAAATTATATGGTGTTTGGGCCCAAGGACCTCTAGTGTGTGAGACTATGAACCAAGGAGCTCTAGTGTGAGACTAACGTGATAACCAACTATACCACCCAAACAAGATTTGAATCTAAAGTAACGCTTAGAACTCGAATCGGCACTCATATGTCGTGAAAGTAAGAATGTCGTAAGGAAAAAAATAAAAGTACAAATTACAAAATGTTTGAGCCCAAGTTTGAACCAGAGACTTCTAGTGTGCGAGACTAGCATAATAACCAACCACACTACCCAAAACAAGGTGAAAATATAAAATAACGCTTTTAACTCGAATCAGCACTCATATGTTGCAAAAGTAAGAATGTTGTAGGAAAAAAATAAATTTTACAAAGTGTCTAAGCTCAAGTTTGAACTTAGTTTGAACCGGAGACCTCTAGTGTGTGAGACTAGCGTGATAACCAACTACACCACCCAGACAAGGTGAGAATTCAAAATAACTCTTTGAACTCGAATCAGCACTCATAACGGAAGTAAGAATGTTGTAAGAGAAAAAATAAAATTTACAAAGTGTCTAAGCTCGGGTTTGAACCGGGGACCTCTAGTGTGTAAGACTAGCGTGATAACCAACTACACCACCCAGACAAGGTGAGAATCCAAAATAACTCTTTGAACTCGAATCAGCACTCATAACGGAAGTAAGAATGTTGTAAGAGAAAAAATAAAATTTACAAAGTGTCTAAGCCCGGGTTTGAACCGGGGACCTCTAGTGTGTAAGACTAGCGTGATAACCAACTACACCACCCAGACAAGGTGAGAATCCAAAATAACTCTTTGAACTCGAATCAGCACTCGTAACGGAAGTAAGAATTTTGTAAGGAAAAAAATAAAAATTACAAAATGTCTAAAGCCCGGGTTTGAACCGGGGACGTCTAGTGTGTGAGACTAGCGTGATAACCAGAATCCAAAATAACTCTTTGAACTCGAATCAGCACTCGTAGCAGAAGTAAGAATGTTGTAAGGAAAAGTAAGAATGTTGTAAGGAAAAAAATAAAATTTACAAAGTGTCTAAACCTGGGTTTGAATCGGGGACCTCTAGTGTGTGAGACTAGCGTGATAACCAGAATCCAAAATAACTCTTTGAACTCAAATCAGCACTCGTAGCGAAAGTAAGAATGTTGTAAGAAAAAAAATAAAATTTACAAAGTGTCTAAGCCCGGGTTTGAGCTAGAGACCTCTAGTGTGTGAGACTAGCGTGATAACCAACTACACCACCCAGACAAGGTGAGAATTCAAAATAACTCTTTGAACTCAAATCAGCACTCGTAGCGGAAGTAAGAATGTTATAAGAGAAAAAATAAAATTTACAAAGTGTCTAAGCCCGGGTTTGAATCGGGGACCTCTAGTGTGTGAGACTAGCGTGATAACCAACTACACCACCCAGACAAGGTGAGAATCCAAAATAACTCTTTGAACTCGAATCAGCACTCGTAGCGGAAGTAAGAATTTTGTAAGGAAAAAAATAAAAATTATACAATATTTCTAACCTCGAGTTTGAATTGGACCTTTAATGTGTAAGACTAGTGTGATAACCAACTACACCACCCAAACAACGTGAAAATTTAAAATAACACTTCGAGTTTGAGCCTAGAACTGAAACTAGCGTGATAAACAATTACACCACCGACACATCTCAAAATAACATTTTTAACTCGAATAAGGAGATTTTGTAAAAAACTAAAAATCTAAATTTTCTAATGTCTAGCCCGACTTTGAAAAATTATATATATATGTATATAATTTATTTATTTCATTATTATTTATTTTTCCATATCTCTTAAAAATAATTTTCACCGGTAACTTTTTAAAATATATATTGAAATTCACAGGTAAATTTTAATTAAATATTTTTAAATAAATAGCAAAAGTTTACTTTTTATTAAAAATAAAATAAATAAATGACTCGAACCAACCCAACAAAAAAATAATAATTTTGAGTTGGGTTGGGTTGGATTGAGTTAAGTTACTCGATTTGAAAAAAATTACAATTGAAACAATTGAGTTGGATCTGAATATCTCAACCTAACCCAGGTTTAATTAGTTTACGAAAAAATGTTTTATATAATTTTGTACTATAATACAAAATGGAATTAAAAGACGCAAATGTACGTTCTTATCATTTTTTTTTTTTTTTGACAGAGTGGGAACTTAGTTTCCGTCTGGGTATGCGTCCTTGGATTGCTGTTGCATATTCAGCTCCTGTTGCAGCTGTTTTCTTGATCTACCCAATTGGTCAAGGAAGCTTTTCTGACGGTATGCCTCTAGGAATCTCTGGTACTTTCAACTTCATGATTGTATTCCAGGCTGAGCACAACATCCTTATGCACCCATTCCACATGTTAGGTGTAGCTGGTGTATTCGGCGGCTCCCTATTCAATGCTATGCATGGTTCCTTGGTAACTTCTAGTTTGATCAGGGAAACCACAGAAAATGAATCTGCTAATGAAGGTTACAGATTCGGTCAAGAGGAAGAAACTAGTCCATTTTGTCTTCTTTTGATATTTCCGGAATAAGAAAAAACGCTTTTTAGACCTTGGATATGGAAAAACACAGAATTGACTATTTCGGATAATACACAGGAAACAAAAGACAAAGATGAAACAAAAACGGTGATGATAAGAAGAGCCAAGGAGGAAAAGAAACAAACATGTCTGGAAAGAGCAGAGAAACCTCGAATAAGCAACAAATTCTAACAAACAAACCCAACTTATTAACTTATATAAGTTAAGACCTGTGTTTCAATATCACTGAATATCTCTTTTTCTTCAAAATGCAATACACGATTATTTTGTTAAAGTTGTTGGAGCACACGGTTCCATCCCGACTTCAATCTTCAAACACTATTCTGCAATAATGAATGGAAAAACGGGTTAAAGGGTCATTCTCACTATGATTTATATCCAATTAGATGAGCTAAATTATTCCCATAAGAATTACTATATCCTCCATTAAAAGAGGAGAAAGAAATCTGGAGATGCTGATAGTTCCTAAGGAGTTCCAGTTTCAGAAAGAATTCTTAAAAGGGGGAATATTGATTATCGAGCCTGTTCGTCTGTCTCTCTGTAGAAAATGATGGACAATCTCTTATGTCTCAAACCATAGGTATTTCATTAGTTCATAAGAATAAGTACCAAATCAAAGATATCAAGAAAAAGACTATCCTTATAAGAAGAGTTTAGCTTAATCCATTGCAATACAACAAAAAACGAATGAAAATAGATAGAACCAGCAATCAATCATTATGATTTGCTTGTTCCGGAAAATCTCTTATCCCCTAGAGGTCGTAGAGAATTCATCATTCTAATTTGTTTCAATTCTGGGAATAGGATATCCATAGAAATACAGGATTTGACAATGCAAATCAGGTCAAATCTCATGATCAAGCATCTTGATAGATAGAAAAATAAACTAAAGAAATTCATGTTCTTTCTGTGACCCAATTATCGATTAGAAGATTTGAAGACCGAGAACTCAATTTTTCAAAAAAAAAAAAAAGTATTTTGTTCTCATTCCCGTGTAAATTCTCGAAATGTCACCTAATATAGAATTGGTCCAAACAAAGCATGTTTAACCCTACCTACAGTTACTTCCAATCGTTTTAAATTTTTTTAGTCTTTCTATTGTGGAACGCTTTCATTCCCATCAATTTTAGTGTGAGTCTATCTATGAACCACGTCTTATCGAGAAAGATACCACTCTAATTCCACATGTAACGACTTAAGTCCAGGATTCGAAAGAGATATCACTCTTATACTATTTGTAATGATCTATGTCTAGGATTCGAAATCCAAATTCGACACTTAATAACCCTAACATTCTCCTTTTCGCTTCTAAGAGTGAAGACTATTGCCACAGACCTATGTCCAACATGAAATTCAAGGAGGAATGGGAGAGAGTGATGAACATTTTTTTTCATTAGATAAATAGGACCGGAAACGACATTTGCTACCTTAGTTCCACGATAAAAAAAACTAATAAGGAAGCAAATATAACACTGTTGTTGTATGCTGTAAGCCATCGTTGTTGCATTTTTGCTTGCATCACATAAAACACCAATTTCAATCTTTCAAATCTTGCTTTCAAAACTCTCTTTGGAAATCTCTCTGCTCCGGTTTTCTAAAATTTTCTTCTTAAACAGGGGTTAGAGGTTCGAGCATACGTTACTTGGCCGTAGTGACGAAAGAACGAATCGACTTAGCTCACTTGTTGCTAGAAAGTGAGTGCCGCACAATCGCAAGTCTACTGTCATAAACAGGTGCTACCCAACCAAGATCTAAGAAACTAACTCGAACATCAGTAGGGTTGCACTAGACGAGCGCGTAATTGGACACGAATCCATATGGGCTAGTCAACCACTTACGGATAATTCTAGAGAGCCATCACTTTCTTGAACAGATAATAGCCAATTTAACATAAGGAAAGGAGGGGTCGGTTATACGTTAAGCGCACGGTTTCCACACAAAAATGGCGGCTTATCTGAAGCCCAAATTCCCACCTTTTTTCTATCCTTCGTCTTCCTCCTTCTACGTTCACTTCTCTGCAAACCCTTAATGCCCCCCTCTGCCATGAAATCCGTCTGGCCCTCCTCTGCTTCTTCATCTTCAGCTTCATTTCTTCCCCCTTCCTTCACTACCAACTCTGTCGCCACTACCAGGTCTGTCTAATTTCGTTTTTTTTAAGGTTTTTCTATGAAATTTATGTCGGAACATTCCTAAATTGGGGTTTATGTCGGTTGTAACGCTGATGTGCGAATTGGGGTTTGATTTTTTGAGTTTATTGATTCATGGTTATATGTAATGCAGGGGAATGCTGAAATTGATGAGAATTTTGTTTTGTTTGAAATCGTGTATTGATGTACTAAATAGTTTATATAGTGCATTGATAAACAAAACTGAAGTAGTTCTGTGAGATCGCACTTTGGTTGGAGAAGGGAACGAAACATTCCCTACAAGGGTGTGGAAACTTCTTCCTAGTAGATGCGTTTTAAAACTATGAGGCTGATGGTGGTACGTAATAGGCAAAAGTGGACAATATGTACTAAGGTTTTGGGCTGTTACAAATGGTATCAAAGTTAGACACCAGGCAGTGTCAGTGAGGATGTTGGCCTCCAAGGGAGGTAGATTATGAGATCCCACATTGGTTGGAGAGGGGTACGAAGCATTTCTTATAAGGGTGTGGAAACCTCTCTCTAGTAGATGCGTTTTTAAACTGTGAGGCTGACGACGATACGTAAAAGGTCAAAGCGGACAATATTTGCTAGCGGTGGGTTTGGGCTGTTACAAATGGTATTAGAGCCAGATACCTGGTGGTGTGCCAGTGAGGATGTTGGCTCCCAAAGGGGTGGATTATGAGATCTCACATTGGTTGGAGAGGGGAACAAAGCATTCCTTATAAGAGTGTGGAAACCTCTCCCTAGTAGACGTGTTTTAAGACCGTGAGGCTTATTGCGATACATAACGAGCCAAAACTGACAATATCTACTAACGGACATGTCTACTAGGGAGAGGTTTTCACATCCTTATAAAAAAAATGGTTCGTTCTCCACCCAATCTATGTGGGATCTCACAATCCACCCCCTTCTGGGCAACAACCCAAGCCCACCCTAGCAAATATTGTCCTCTTTGGGTTTTCTCTTTTGGGCTTCTGCTCAAGTTTTTTAAAACGATCTGCAAGGGGGAGGTTTCCACATCCTTATAAAGAATGATTCGTTCTCCTCCCCAACCGATGGTGGATCTCACAATCCACCCCCCTTTAGGGCCCAGTGTCCTTGCCGGCACACCGCCTCGTGTCCACCCCTCTTCGGGGCTCAACCTCCTCGCTAGCACATCGTTCGGTGTCTAGATTTGATACCATTTGTAACAACTCAAGCCCACCGCTAGTAGATATTGTCCTCTTTGGGTTTTCCCTTTCGGGCTACCCCTCAAAGTTTTTAAAATGCGTTTGCCAGGGAGAGGGGGAGGTTTTCACACCTTTATAAAGAATGCTTCGTTCTCCTCCCCAACCGATGTGGGATCTCAAAATCCACCCCCTTTCGGGGCTCAGCGTCCTTGTTAGAACACCGCCTCGTATCCATTCCCCTTCGGGGCTCAGCCTCCTCGTTAGCACATCCCCGGTATCTGGCTCTGATACCATTTGCAACAACCCAAGCCCACCGCTAGCAGATATTATCCTCTGTGGGCTTTCCCTTTTGGGCTTCCTCTCAAGGTTTTAAAACGTATCTTTATAAAGAATGCTTCATTCTCCTCCCCAATCGATGTGGGATCTCACATTTATCCTACCTTCTTTTACGCTCAAATCAACCGAACCCAAATTCCTCGGACTGTCAGCAATCTAGTATCTCGTTTGGATGATGGTGATAGATGATTGTTTGTCACTTAACAAATGGTTGTAATGCTTGCAGGAGAAAGGTGCTATGTTATCATGGAATACTAGTGGACAAAATATATTCAAAATACTTCTTACCTTGCAAATCTATTTCCACCGGTAGAGTTTGTAAGTCAAGAAGTTTAACAGTTCTGTCCCATAGGTCAGAGAAGAATGCCTTATGTCAAAGGAAGATAAGTAAACCTAAGGTACCTTCCTATCTATACCTTAATTTCGTTAAATGTACTCGTTTTTTTTTCTCTTTTCTCTCATCACTTTTTCTTTGCCTGGTTTATCTGTCTATTTGGAAGGTCGATGAATGCTTTGACTTTATTTTTGGAACATTATCGAGTGTTCTTCGAGAATGGAGCCAGTTACGGTCGATGGGTGTAGTTATTGTACTGACATGTACTCTCATGTTCGTTCCATCGTCTCGAGCTGTTGATGCACTCAAAACATGTACATGCTTACTAAAGGAATGCAGGTATCTCTAATTTATCCTTGCTGATTGGTAACTCATATTATTGCATCTCTCCTTCGTGTTTCTGTTGTGAGTTAAGGATTTTACCAAAATAGTGCCCGTGAATCGAGGAAATAATAATAATAATTTACCCCTCGGTTCGTGGTTAGAGTAATTGTTGGTCTTTCTGTATCTTGGTTCTGTGGAAATGAGTACTGTAAGGTCCCATATTGATTGGAGAGAGAAATGAGTTTCAATGAGGATGCTAGGCCCTGAAGGGGGTGGATTGTGAGATCCCACATTAGAAAAATTCTTTATAATGGTGTGGAAACCTCTCCCTAGCAGACACTTTAAAAACCTTGAAGGGAAAGCTCAAAAAGGACAATATTTGCTAGCGGTGGGCTTGAGTTGTTACAAGTGGTAACAAAGCTAGGCATCGAGTGGTGTGCCAGCGAGTACACTAAGCCCTGAAAGGGGTGGACTCCGGGCAATGTGTCATTGAGGACGTTGGGTCCCAAAGGGAGGTGGATTGTGAGATCCCACATCGATTGGAGAGAGAAACGAGTACCAACAAGGATGTTGGGCCTCGAAGGGGGTGGATTGTGAGATCCCACATCGGTTGGAGAGGGGAACGAAGCACTCTTTACAAGAGTGTGAAAATCTCTTCCTAGCAGACACGTTTTAAAAACCTTGAGTGGAAGCTCAAAAGGGAAAGCCTAAAGAAGATAATATCTGCTAACGGGTTTCTACTGCTCTCTCGTCAATTTGTTTCTCATCGTAAGTAGGAGTCTTTTTCCCATTCATCAAGTAGTGTTTGGAGAAAGATTTTTAATCATCTATTATAAAGTCATTAGATTTTGCAAAAATTTCATAGAAACACTATTATCCATGACCGTCGAGGCCTACAAACGGGGGAACCACCTGATTTTACTATATTTGGTTGACAAAGAAACTCGTAGGATATTAAATCTTAGACGAGTGGCTACTATAGTTTGAACCTTTTCTCACTACTCCAACGACCACTAAACCGACCCACAGTTGTTCCAACGCTTCTTTACTAATATCACATGGCTTCTAAAACGGCTAGTTTCTTCTCCCTTATGTCAGGCTTGAACTTGCCAAATGCATATCAAACCCATTATGTGCTGCCAATGTTGCTTGTCTCCAAACCTGCAACGATCGACCCGACGAGACTGAATGCCAGGTTAGTTTTTTCGGGGCTCAACATAACGCGTTACACGATTTCAAAAATTAACTAATTTTTTCTCTTTGTAGATTAAATGTGGTGACCTATTTGAAAACAGCGTCGTGGATGAATTTAATGAATGTGCAGTATCACGAAAAAAATGTGTACCTACGAAATCCGATGTCGGGGACTTTCCTGTACCCGACCCGTCTGTTCTTGTCAAGAGTTTCAATATATCAGATTTCAGTGGGAAGTGGTTTATCACTAGTGGCTTAAATCCTACTTTTGATACGTTTGATTGTCAGTTGCATGAATTTCATGTAGAGTCTGGCAAACTTATTGGAAATATAACGTGGAGAATACGAACTCCAGATAGCGGTTTTTTCACTCGATCGACGACGCAGAGATTCGTGCAAGATCCCGAGCATCCTGGCATACTCTATAACCACAACAATGAGTATCTTCACTATGAGGATGACTGGTATGCTTTCATTTCATTTCTAAATCATCAAATTTCCTAGTACCTGATCTATTCCATTGGCATTCACTATCATGCGATGGACTTTCTTTGTTAGATTTTTAAAACGTGTCTACTAGAGAAAGAGTCTAGCCCTACTCTGATTAGTGCCTCGCACCGTCCAATGACTGGCTCTAATACCATTTGTAAAAAACCCAAGCCCATTGCTAGCCAATATTGTCATCTTTGGGCTTTCTCTTTTGGGCTTCCCTTCAAGGTTTTAAAACACGTCTACTAGGGGGAGGTTACACCCTTATAAGGAATGTTTCGTTCCCCTTTCCAACCATCATGGGATCTCAAAATCCACCCTCTTGGGGAGCCAGCGTCCTCGCTGATACATCGCCATATGTTTGGCTCTGATATCATTTGTAATAACTCAAGTGCACTGCTAGCAAATATTGTCCTCTTTGGGCTTTCTCTGTCAGGCTTCTCCTCAAGGTTTTTAAAACGCATCTACTAGGGAGAGAGTCTAGCTCTACTTCGGTCAATGCCTTGCACCGTTCAGTGACTGACTCTGATATCATTTGTAACAACCTAAGCCCACCGCTAGGAGATATTGTCCTCTTTGGGCTTTCCCTTTCGGGCTTGCCCTTAAGGTTTTAAAACACGTTTACTAGGGAGAGGTTTCCACACCCTTATAAGGAATCTTTCGTTCCCCTCTCCAACCAATGTGGGATCTCACAATCCACCCCCTTGGAGGGCCAACGTCCTTGCTGGCACACCGCTCAATGTCTGGTTTTGATACCATTTGTAACAGCCCAAGCCTACGGCTAGTAAATATTATCCTCTTTGGGCTTTCCCTTTCGAAATTCCCCTCAAGGTTTTTAAAACGCGTCTACTAGGGAGAGAGTCTAGCCCGACTCCAATCAGTGCCTCGCACGTTCGGTAACTGACTCTGATACTATTTGTAATAACCCAACTCTACCGCTAGCAGATATTGTTCTCTTTAGACTTTCCCTCTGGGCTTCAAAACGCGTCTATTAAGAAGTTTTCACACCCTTAGTGACCAAAATTCTTTCCTGTTATTTGATCACAAATTAGAAGAAATGAAAGTGGTGAGCATCTGTAGTATCTAGCCTCAACTAGGAATTGTAATTGTTTATCTCCTTCCTTCTCAGGTATATATTATCAAGCCAGGTGGAGAACAAACCCGATGATTACATTTTCGTATACTATCGTGGTCGGAACGACGCATGGGATGGCTACGGCGGAGCCGTTGTATACACGAGAAGTGCAGTACTGCCAGAAAGCATAGTTCCCGAGCTAGAAAGGGCAGCTAAGAGCGTAGGGAGAGACTTCAACAAGTTCATAAAAACAGACAATTCGTGTGGCCCGGAGCCACCGCTCGTAGAAAGGCTAGAGAAGACATTGGAAAGCGGAGAACAAACGATCGTGAGGGAAGTCGAACAAATCGAACAAGAGGTGGAGAAGGAGGTCGAACAGCTTGAAAAAGAGGTGGAAACAGTAGGGAAGGCAGAGATGTCATTGGTTGAGAAGTTGGGAGAAGGTCTTAAAGAACTTCAACGAGACGAGGAATTCTTCCTTAGAGAGTTATCTAAAGAAGAGAGTGATCTTTTGAATGAGCTTAAAATGGAAGCAAATGAGGTTGAGAGTTTGTTTGGAAGAGCACTTGCTCTTAGAAAATTAAGATAAAAAGACTTTGATTATCATTACTTCTAAGATTATTATTAGCTAAACCCATTTTGTTTAATTTCGTTAATTTTTTAATTAACGTTTAAAGGCTTTTTGAACGTTCATATCGGGAAAACCCACGAACTCATCTCGAAATCTACACGTAACCCCGAGATGGTCTCAAATTGCAATAAGCAACCTAGTAAGAATCATCACCCACAACCCTTCAAGTTGCCCTTGAAAACTCCATTGGGAGTACGTGTGAGATCTCACATCGGTTGGGGAAGAGAACGAAACATTTCTTATAAAAGTGTAGAAATCTCTTCTTATTAGACGCATTTTAAAAACCTTGAAAGGAAGCTTGAAAGGGAAAGTCCAAAGAAGACAATATTTGCTAGTGGTGAGTTTGGATCGTTACAAATTGTATTAGAGTCGGACTCCAGGCAATGTGTCAGCGAAGCGGTGTGCCAGCAAGGACGCTGAGCCCCGAAGGGAGGGTGGATTAGGGAGTACCACATCTATTAGAGAAGGGAACGAGTGTCAACGAGGATACTGGGCTTCGAAGGGGGTGGATTGTGAGATCCCACATCGGTTGGGGAGGAGAACGAAACATTTCTTACAAGGGTGTGGAAACCTCTCCCTAGTAGACGCGTTTTAAAAACTTTGAGGGGATGCCCAAAAAAGAAAGCCCAAAGAGGACAATATCTGTTAGCGGTGGGCTCGAGTCATTACAAATGGTATTAAAGCTAAACACCGAGCAGTGTGCCAACGATGAGGTTAAGCCCTAGAGGGGGGGATTAGGGGGTCCCACATCAATTGGAGAAGAGAACGAGTGCCAGCGAGAATGCTGGGCCCTAAAGGGGGTGGATTGTGAGATCTCACATCGGTTGGGGAGGAGAACGAAATATTCTTTATAAGGGTGTGGGAACTCTTTCTAGCATATACGTTTTAAAACCTTGAGAGAAAACTCGAAAGAAAAAGTCCAAAGAAGACAATATTTGCTAGCTGTAGGACCTTAGGACCATGACAAAATGGTAGTTAAAGGGCGTTAAAATCCCAAATATTTTTAACCGTAATGTTAGAAAGGGATTGGCATCAATATCAAATAGGTTGAGACATGAAATTAGAGTTTTGACCTCTCATCTTATTTTCTCTTTATTGGATTTTGGGGCCTCCAAACATTCAATGTTCCAATTTCTTCACATTGCAATCGCGTTGAGGAATGGACGGCGGAGATTAAGATGAGAATTGAAGAAGTGGAAGATGAAAGTGATGGGTGCATACAAACCAATTTCATTCTTATGTTAAGAAAAAAGGTATTTTTTTTAGACTTCGTTACGTGATGAACTTATTTAGGTTTTGGTGATAAATTCGTACTGTGATGAACGTATTTGGGTTTATTTTTGTTGGGTGATGAACTCGTATCGTGATAAATTTATTTGGATTTGTTTTTGTTAACTAATGAACTTATTTGGGTTTGGGTAATGAACTCGTAATGTGATGAACTTATTTGAGTTTTTGGGTTTGGACGATGAACTCATATTGTGATGAACTAATTGGTTTGTTTTGTAATGGGTGATGAACTTATTTGGATTTGAGTGTTGAGCTCGTAACTTGATGAACTTATTTGGGTTTGTTTTAATTGGTTGATGAACTTGTTTAATTGATCCATGAGTTCCCCGAAACTATATTAGGTTTAACCAAACTAGCCTGACTTAAACAACCTAAACTCATCCGACTTAAATAATTTATGATTGAGTTGGATTGAGTTCATTATTTAATAATAATTGTTTGGTTTGAAAAACCGTCCCTATTGTTTTTTTTTACTGATTGAAAAGAGGAATACATTAACAGCTCGAACAATTGAGCTGGATCTAAAAAAAATGTTTGAACTCAACCTAACCTAATCCATGAACGCCCCGATCGATATTTTGAGGAGCATTTTATATAATATTGGAAAGAAATAATAAATGAAGGTATGTTACGTTTGGGTTTAGGAAGAGAAAATGGGGAAAATAGTGTAAATTAAGAGAAAGGAGGAAGGCATGGGAGTTTGGAGTTCAAGGTTTGGCCGTCTCCCTCGCTAAAACCACCCTTCAAACTTTACCACTTTTTGTGCTTCTTCTCATCTCTCTCTAAATTCTCACAAAAATCCATTTCCCAATCCTTCCGTTCACTCATCTTTCTTCATCGCTAATGGCTTTGAATTTCAATCCTGCACTGAACCTCCCTTGCCATACCACTCACCGCCATCGCAGATCTTCCAATCGTCTCATGGCCACCACAATTCATGCTGTCTCCAAGTGGGTATCCACCATTTCTCAATTTGAATCAAACCCATTTTGTTGTTTAATCTGTTTTGATCCATTTCGATTCTCTCTGTTTAATCAATTGTGTTCTTTTGATTCCACTTTAATGGCTTTTTCCTGTACTGATCGGTGGTGTTTTCCTATTCTGTAATCTCTTATTACTGTTGCTATTTGCATTCTTGGGAATCTCCGCCTACCCCTAAATTGGGAATTCGAATTTAAGATGTTTTGGATTTGGGTTTTGTTTTAATCTCTTGGTTTTAGGGAGTTTTTGTGATTTTGAACTGAAATGTTGTAGATTCGACGTCAATCTTGTTGTGCAATTTTGGTCTGAAGTAAGGTATTTTGATGAACTGTATTGCTGATCGTTTCTGTTCGAATACTGCATGTATGGATTGTTCTTCCTTCATTAGTACTTGCCTGAAATTTTGAGAAGGATCTGTTACTTTTCGTTAGTTTTTAATTTTTCTCTGTTTCTATATATATATTATTGCTGGACCAAGCTGTTCTTATATAAAGTTAAATTATACATTCAAGTACTTTTGAGTTTATGAATGTGAGATCCCACGTCGGGTGGGGAGAAGAATAAAACACCCTTGTAACACCCTTTACAAGGGTGTGGAAACCTCTCCCTAGTAGACGCGTTTTAAAAACTTTAAGGGGAAGCCTGAAAGGGAAAGTCAAAAGAGAACAATGTCTGCTAGTAGTGGGTTTGGGCTCTTACAAGTGATATAAGAGCCAGACATCGGGCAATGTGCCAACAAGAAAGCCGAGTCCCAAAGGGGGTTGATTTGGGAGTCCCACATCGATTAAAGAAGGAAACGAGTGCCAGCGAGAATGCTGGGTCTCAAAGAGGAGTGGATTGTGAGATCCCACATTGGTTGGGGGAGAATGAACCACCCTTTATAAGGGTGTGGAAACCTCTCCCTAGTTGACGCATTTTAAAAACCTTGAGGGGAAACCTGGAAGAGAAAGCCCAAAGACGACAATATCTACTAGCGGTATAGTCAATTTTTTCTGTGGCATACTTTTGAGCATTTTAAACAAGCATATAAGCCCGTGGGCTTATAATTTGGCAGCTGGTCTTGGACTCTTAAAACATTGATGTTGTGGTTCGTTTAGTCGATCTGCCAGTTCCCTTATATTTTTTTAGCACTTGTCGTTGTGGTTCGTTTAGTCGATCTGCCAGTTCCCTTATATTTTTTTAGCACTTGTTGTATATAACGCGTTTATAGTTGATTTATTGTTTTATTAATACCGTGCTGTTAATATTTATTATAGTATTACGCTCGGTCTCAACCAGCAAATGTAAAATACTGCCTGATTTCATTGTTTTTCCAGATGTTGTTCTTTGTTATGTGAATAATCTACCACATAGTAACAATACTGATGTTTCGCTTGAAGATGTTTGGGCACAATAATTTGGTTTTTAGAGTCTGATCAATAGAAGTAAACAATTGTTTGCCTGATGCATTGATGAAATACTAGTTGAACGTAGGTTCATGAACTTTCAAAGTTCATATGTTGTGTTTATTTGTTCTTCGTAGTTCAAAAAAAAAATGAACTCTTGAACTTTCGATTAAGTGTATTGATTCCTATACTCGATTCCATCAAGTTTACGCTTATGTCGAAAATTGCTTGAATTTGCTGGAAATTATGTAACGTAATATTGTTAGCAGAGTTAAGGCAGGTAACCTATTAAACAGAAAATTGAGAGTATGAAAACTTTTTTGTTTCTAAAATTAGCTCGACTGAACCTCGGATTCTTGATCTTCTCCTTTCTTTCACTCTTTTACTCTCATGTAAAAACGAAAGAAAGATTAATTCGATTGAACAAGACATATGGCCGGTCTCAAATTTGTTCTTTCCTTCAAACACTCGGTAAAGCATATATAGGTTCTTGGTCTGTCACTTTTCTAGGAAAAACAAAAATATAATAAATTCGAAATGTTAGGATCGATAAGTGGAAGTCGAACGAAAAATTCGAAAGGTTAGGAAAAACAAAAATATAATAAATTGTCGATAAGAACTCATTTCCTCTGAGCTCTTGAGCACTGGTTGAAACTTTTGAGGATATGAAACAAAGTCGACTTCATGCTATTACCAGTTCTGTAATAGCTTCTTGTTTCTGTGTTTCTTTTCTATGGTTGTGTTATGGTTGTATTTATGGCTAAAGGTATGCCATATTTGTTGCTCTCTAATAACTACGGGCTTCCTCGAACTACATTTCGTTTCGATTGGGTATCTAATGCTCATTCAGGATTAGCTTGTAATTTCTGGAGTGGAGTAGCAGTTTGATGACTCTTTTCGAACAGTTCTTAATAATTTGTTGATCTTGTAAAGAAAATTCCCGACTTACACGACTGAGATCGGCTTATTACTGTTGTTTGTTCGATTCTACAGACAGACCGAGGGAGCAAAGAAGTTGCATTTCCCTCCCCGAGAAGTACACGTCCAAGTGACTCATTCTATGGCACCTCAAAAGATGGAGATATTCAAATCATTAGAAGATTGGGCAGAAAAGAACATCTTGGTTCACCTAAAGCCTGTTGAAAATTGTTGGCAACCTCAAGATTATCTCCCTGACCCCGAATCCAATGGTTTCTATGACCAAGTCCAGGAAATAAGGGAGAGATCGAAGGAGATTCCCGATGACTATTTTGTCGTGTTGGTTGGGGACATGATCACTGAAGAAGCCCTTCCAACTTACCAGACAATGCTGAACACCCTTGATGGCGTCCGTGATGAAACTGGGGCGAGCCTCACCTCGTGGGCAGTATGGACAAGAGCCTGGACTGCCGAAGAGAATAGGCATGGTGACCTTCTGAATAAGTACCTTTACCTGTCGGGACGAGTCGATATGAAACAGATTGAAAAGACCATTCAGTACCTCATTGGATCAGGAATGGTTAGATTTCTCGACGTTCTGTAAACTAGTTTTTCTCGTTTTTCTCGTTCTCTAAAGCTAAGATTTGTGTTTGAACCCATGGTTTGTGTCTTTGTGCCTTTTAGGATCCCAAAACAGAAAACAATCCATACCTTGGTTTCATTTACACTTCATTTCAAGAGAGGGCAACTTTCATCTCCCATGGCAACACAGCTAGGCTAGCCAAGGAGCATGGCGATTTTAAGCTAGCACAGGTATGTGGTATAATCGCCTCGGATGAAAAACGCCACGAGACTGCCTACACCAAGATCGTTGAGAAGCTTTTCGAGGTCGACCCTGATGATACCGTTATGGCTTTAGCTGACATGATGAAGAAAAAAATCTCAATGCCAGCCCATTTGATGTACGATGGTCAGGACAACAACCTTTTCGAGAACTTTTCATCTGTTGCTCAACGGCTCGGTGTTTACACTGCTAAAGACTATGCTGACATTCTCGAGTTCCTTGTCAGTAGATGGAAAATAGAGAATTTGACAGGTCTCTCGGGCGAGGGGCGCAAAGCACAAGATTTCGTGTGCGGGTTACCTCCAAGGATTAGAAGACTGGAAGACAGAGCTCAAAGCAGAGCCAAGCAAGCACAAAGAGTTCCATTTAGCTGGATCTTCGGCCGCGAAATTCAAGTGTAAGAGTAACAGTCTCGAAGGAAGGTATTAAACTACTCGACTCGAGTACATTCGAATACAAATCGTAAGTGTTTTCAAGTTTAGATATTACTTTCGAGTCTTGATTGCTTAAAGTTAGGAAGATTAGACTGTCTTGTGGCTGCTGCTGCTGCTGCTGTTTTTGGTTGTTGCAACAACTAGTCTCCCCCAGTACCTTATTTGTTTAGCAGATAAGGTTCAGTAATGGCTTGGGTTTTGATTTTTGTCGAACACAAAATAGAATGCCTATTAATTTTCCCATCTGTTTATTGTTGTAATGTCCAAACCAACTATAAATTTTGGCACCAAATTCAACTGCTGTTTTATCATCATCCATCACTCACATTCTTCTTGGATCTTACTTGAGAGGGTAGTGATTTCGTTTATCATCTAATTTTCATAGACAAGGCCAAGTATTGAAAATGGAAGATCGTGATAGGAATCTTAGCTCTGGGTTTGATTTTGATCCTTAATTCTTAATTCTTGTTCCTTATTCTTTCTGTAACAGTTCAAGCTCATTGCTAATAGATATTGTCTGTTTTTTGGCTGGTTACATATCATTGTCAGCCTCGCGATTTTAAAACGCGTTAGGTAGAGGTTTCCACACCAAGAATTCTTTGTTCCTTTCTCCAACTAATGTGGGATCTCATAATCTACCATTCTTGGGGGCTTAACGTCCTCGCTGACATAATGCTTGGTGTCTGTCTCTGATACATTTGTAACATCTCAAGTCCACCGCTAACAAATATTGTCTGCTTTGTCCCATTACGTATCGTTGTCACCCACCCTCACGGTTTTAAAATGTGTATGTTAGGGAGACGTTTCCACACCCGTTTCCACACCCTTGTAAAAAAACCTCTCTCCAACTGATATGAGATTTCACACTTTCACTATAAATATAGGGGAAACGAAAGAAAGATAAATTTGACTAAACTGGACATATGATCAGTCTCAAATCTGTTCTTTTCTTCTTCAAACACTCGGTAAAGTATATACAGGTCCGGGTAAGTGAAAGTCGAAAAATTTGAAATGTTAGGAAAAACAGAAGTATATTAAATTCTTGATTAGAACTCATTACCTCTGAGCTCTTGAACTCTTTACTTATTCACAGTTCTTTTCTAAATTTCTCTGGTTCGAGTATTTTCACCAAAATCAATTCAAAAGATAATCTTCACAACTGTAAAGAACACAAAGAAGTAGCCGTTAACCCCATTTGATTCCATTCACAAGTAACGTCTCTGAGAATTTAAAAATTAAAGAAACAAAACTGACCGTTGCCTAGAAATCTATATCTTCTTCCCGTTCTTCATCCCCAAATCTCATCTCAATCTTCTTCAATCTCTTCAATCTCCCAAATTCGACGCGAAACGAACCAGATTTCGCCAATGGGTCTCTCACCATCTTCACCATCACCCTCAATTTCTAGGTCACACTACAACATCCACAAGCTCTTCCTCCTCTGCAACTACATCCTCCTCGGCGCCGCCTCCTCTTGCATTTTCCTAACTCTATCCCTCCGCCTCATCCCCTCCGTATGCGGCTTCTTCATCATCTTCCTCCACGCCTTCACAATCGCCGGCGCTGTCTCCGGCTGCGCCATGGCTTCCGCCGCTACCGGCCGCTGGTTCGGCGTCCATATGGTCTTCACCGTCCTGACCGCCATATTTCAAGGCTCTGTTGCGGTTCTGATTTTCACCAGAACTAGTGATTTCCTTGGGGAACTGAAATCGTACGTCCGGGAGGAAGATGGGTCGGTGATTTTGAAATTGGGCGGCGGATTGAGCTGCTTGATCTTCGGTTTGGAGTGGGTTGTGCTGGTTTTGGCGTTCTGTTTGAAGTATTACTTTTATGTTGAGGGAAATGGAAGCGGTGAGAAGAGAAGCGCTAAGGTTCAACAGTTTGAAGATTCGAAGTGGGCGGCGGCGCCATTCCCAGTTTGAAGATTCTTCTTTCTGGATGAATTTTGGTTTTGGTTTGTGGTTCTTGATGATGATTCAAATTCATTCATATTTGATTGGTTTCTTTGTGTTTGTGTTTGATCGTGATTATATATTTGTATTGTATGTGTTTGTGAGTTCAATTAAGCTTGGAATTATGGCTTCAATTTTGGTTCCATTTCAATGGGGTGATATTCATAATGTAGTTGAAAACTTTAAGAAACAACAAAGAAAAATGTAAGAAAAACCCTACACATCAAAAGAAACTCATTTATGTGAAAAATTATTCAAGTGAATTGAATATTTGATTATGCCTATGAATATTAAGTGATGTTTACAAGACCGACGTTTAGAGAGCTATGTAGGTCTTGGATTAGCAAACAATTATGACGAGATATTCCTTACTTGCTCGAGGCAATTCGAAGGGAATCAAGAGGAATCGCAGATAAGATAGTCTTCTTTGAGGAGAAGCTAAGTGCAACTCCCAATCTAGGGAATGAAAAACTCAAAATATGAATCAATGCCCCTAATTTCAGAAGAAACAATGGCTAGGATAGGAGGGGGCCTTGCTTATTTATAAATTAGTCATAAATTAGTCGATAGCTATATATGATAAACAACCTATAAAGTATATTGCCTTACAATAAACTAGTAAAAGGCTATATTTGTTAAAACTATATATGATCGACAATTATATATGGTAGAGGATTATATAAGTTAAAACTATATATAGATAGTGTGATGTACAATTTACCTATTTCTTGTTCAACTAGATCAATAATTTGAAATATCAATCCAAAAATGCTAACAATTGCTCCCCCAACAATCTCCACAAATCTCGAGTTGCGTAGTTTCTCCGTTCGAGGAGCTACATAAAAGAAACGCTCATTCCCAACATATATTTTCAAGTAAAGACACGGGTTCCCAAGTTAACTAACAAGTTAATGGCACAAACACAATCCACCCTTTATCATGTAAACATCATAAGCTTGGGTTCATCAGTTTGTTCAGCAGCAAAACAGAACAAAAACTATCATACAGGACACCCCCCCTTTCATTTTCTATATCACTTGCTCTTCATGATTAGACTCGACAAAAGATACATTCAAACTTACAGGACACCCCCTTTCATTCTCTCTTTTCAAACATCTTAGACTTCAGTCTACAACAGGATTCACAGATATATGAGCCTCATGGAGGAAGAACATACGATGGAACAAAGTACAAAACCTGGTAACGGCAAGACGCTGCTATTGATTCGTGTAAGTTTTCTGATCTTGGACTGCTGAACCTGGTTTCAAAGACTGAGGTGAAGTTTCGTTCACATTAATACACTTTCCGGTAGGTGGCAGGCAGCGTTTTGAGAAAAATGCTGCAATAGTTTTTGGTCTTCGGATGCTTTTTTCTGCAAATAAAGAAAAAGAGTTGATCGAAATCGAGTAAAATACACGTGTGATAGTGTCTGCAACCAAAATCCTTATTCCAAGAATACAAACCTGGAGACACCAGAACACCATGTTTCTCCAAAATTTCCTTTTTAACCTGCATACATAGACCATGCTTACTGCTAAGTAAAAGAATCGATCAAGTACTAGTCGAAATCAACAAACTAAGATAATGACGGTAAATCAAACCTAAGATTCTGCAGTTATTTATGTCACAGGTTAAGTGAAAATAGGCATTCACAATCAGAATCAAAGTTTTGCTATGCATCAGACAGGGACAAGCAACATAAGAATGAAATCACCAAAGCATCTACGTATCAGACTTTTAAAATCTTAAAAGTAAGAATTTAGAACCAGTTCACCAACCTGCCATCGGTTTTCTACAAAGTCAGATACTTCCCGGACTTTGTTCCGCAAATGAGACTTCGGTACAGTAGGAAACTTGTGCTGCAAAGACTCGACAACTTTGTTGATACCCTGTGAGCAGGACTGAATAGTTGATACCTGTTAAATGAGATATTGTCATTGCCAAGGATCAATTATTGGAACTGAAGTACAAGAAAACATGCAACTACAAAGAAACAAAACATCGCAACTAAGATACATGCACACAGATACAGTGAAACCACATCAATAAAACTCAGTTCATTAGACTACGTTCATTTAAAACTCGAACCAGGACAAGTTCACCAGACCGTATGAAACCACATAAATCTATTGTTGTACTTTTCCAAAATAGTTCATGGAAGTTCATATTTGACGATTCAGAATGCACAAAACTTACAATTACAGCCATATCTGAATCAAGGATAGCTGACGTTGAGATCTGGGTGCTACTTTCCTTGGCACTTGGGAGGCACATTTCTGGATCCTCATCTGGCGTTCTATCAACTAAAATCTCCACAGGGCACCCGCCCTGCATCAAGCGCATGCTGAGAGCTGCTAAGCATGTCTGCTCTAGCTTAGATGTGCCATCAAGATCTTCAGCCATTAGCAAATTATCCTTCTCATGCAATAAATTTAAAACAATCAATGGCTGATTTTTTCTAAGTGCAAGCTCTGTCATGTTGTAGAGATGCTTTTGCTGCTTAAACAAACTACAAAGTTCTTTGCCCTCCATATCTTGCTTAGAACTAGGTGTGCTCCTGACCTCATCAACATCATCAGTTTCCATCCTGTCATGTTCCACGCCCTACAAGCTCGAAGGGAAATTCAAACTTAATAAATTTCTACATGAATATGTTGAAAGAAATAAAACTAATGCATCCCAGGAATGATCCACCGAAATAGATTAGTTTGGTTTAACATTTTCTACAATACTAATATATAATTCAAATGAACTTTAGGGAACATGGAATAATGGATTCAGAAGGAAATTTTGGTTCTATTCATACTTAACTCATTTCACAACCACCATTAAAAAAAATTAGATAAACTTAAACATCTGTGTTTCACACCTCATTTTCTGAGAGATATCCATCAGGGACAAAAAATCCATCTTCACTGTCTTCATCATCCTCCGCTTTTGCACAACCTTCCTCTTCTAAGTTTTCTTCATCATCCTTATCACAATCTGAGAGGCTTTCACCAGGATCCTCCTGCAAAATGAGAATGCAAATTTGAAATATCTTATCTCGAGGACACAGTTGTTCAAGGTCATGTAAATTTGTAATATTGTAATATAACATACTAGATTTCTTTCAATTTCTTCTCAAAAAAAATAAATAAATAAAAAATAGAGTGTAAACAAAAATCTGGGTGCACTACCTCTTCCCATTCTTCATCACTGTCAACATCATAATCCAAATCTGGGTCCTTCCTAAACGGATGGCGTGGTCCAACAACATGACTGGAAATGTAACACCCCAAAGATAAGTAAAATTTCAAATGAGTAGTCCAATTATGGAATCCAAGGCAAACTGATAATTTCATACATAAAGGTTGAACAATCACGACTAGATTTTTAAAAATATATAATAAAAGAACTACTTGCCTCTTTGTGGACCAAATGCCATAAAAAGCAGGCCTATAGCTCTTTGAAAACTGCAACAACTGCTTCCCCTTCCCCCTGTTCAACTTACTGGCATGAGGCAAACTGCTGCAGAACTCTGTGTGGCTGGTTCTATCATCTGTAATTTGTTCTTCCCAACCATCAACAATCTCCTCACCCAATTCACCATTAGCGGATTCTCTACCATTTGAAAGTTTAAGTTCCTTAAATAGATCACACTTTGGCTTCTGACGAATGCCCCAGTGATTTTTTCCTCTTGAACGAATTGATTGACCTATGAAGCGCCAAGAAGATAAGTGCAGCCTGAAAGTGAAACACGTCTTAAAATATGACCTCAAGAAAGCCACAACTCTAAAAAAATAATACCATATAAGGTAAATGAATACCTGCGAATATCAACAGAATTGATCGCATTACTTGAAGAAAGAGTGCAGTCCATGAACTGCGTGCAAGCCTCCAGCATGTTTTCACTCTGTTTACTGAATGGAACTGATGTAGTCAATTCAGTTGTTGGACAATCATTCTGACATGACGGACTAGGTTTAGTTTTCTTAAGGAAACGCTCCATTATGGAAGCTTGCTTTAGTACAGAAAGTCTCTTTTTTGATTCAGCTTCTTCCCGCTGTCTACGACGTTGATCTTTTTCAGCGTCCTCTTCCTGCTTCTTAAGTTGTTTTTTCTTTTCAATCTCTTCTTTTTCACGACGACGCTTTTCCTCCCTTTCTGTCACTTTTGACTCCTTTTCCTGATTTTAAATGATTTGTACATGTCACCGCCTGAAAAGCTAAGAGTTGAATAAAATTTTAAATTTTATACGCATATACTTACACTTTGCAACTTCTCCTTTTGTTGTTCCCTGTCTATTCTCTTTTTCTCCTTTTCAGCCTCCCGCTGACTTCTCTCTAGTTGTTTGACCATTAGCTTCTCCTCTCGTTTTGCTTCCTTCACAGCCCTGAAGTAAGAAGTTCAAATTGAACAAGCAACATAGAGGAATACAAATGTGAAGCATTAAAGATTTAAAAATAAACCATACATCTCAGAAGCAGTCTTCTGTGACAAGCCATCCACCAATGAACGGATCATGGCTTCATCAAACAATTTACCAAGTCTTTCTGATGCTTTTATGAACTCTTGAATGCAAGTCCGATCAATCTCTGCCTTCAGCAGTGCTGACATCATCGCTGAAATAGGACAAATATCAGAGATTAACAATGGAGGAAAATTAGACTTGAAACTCAAGAATAAACCGTTAAAAATAGGCCAAAAATGAAGATTTTAAATCATGGAGAAACACAATTATAAGAAAAAATGCATTTGCACAAGCAAAGAGTTTATAGTCCATATGCCCTCACTTTTTTGCTTTTTCTTTGTGCTTAAGCCTCAAAAGGTTTTGCACTAAAGCAAACCTTATGCTTCAAAAAACTCTGGGTTTACATGTACCCATACCAAGCTAATTACAACAATAGGCAGTGAAAAGAAACATTGAGTAGGCTTGATAATTTGAACCAGAAGGAGAAAGACGTCCTAACTGAACCTGATTCACCTTTAATCTCCTATGAACAAAACTGTACTTAAGACCCACGTTATGAACTGAAGTGCCTAAACTGAACTCCCATAAATCTTTCAGATGGGTCACAAATAAATCAACTTCTTTCGTATATGATGTTACAACTTCTCTCTCAATCTAGCTAGAACATTATGTTTATAATTTTAT